GACTTTGTTCCTGAGTGACTATTATTTTTGTTTTGTGATTTTGCGTCGAATCACTCTGAATGTCCCTTTTCACTTTTCAAACTGTTGCCACCAAATACTATTGCCCGGTATTATATTTGAAGAAATTAAATAATGAAGAATCTGCATAAATGTATATATGTTTCTCGCATTATAATAAAACAACGGTACCTAGAGCCATCCAGTTTTGAATGATGTAATCCTACTGTGAATATGGTCATGTGGAAGCCGAAATTTGAAATTAGTTTTATTTTCGATTTCATATTTCGTAAAACTTTAAATAATTTTTCATTGAAAAGCTCAAGGATTTAAAAGCGAGCAATGGCACCATTGTATAGAAAAAACATTTTTATCTCCAGTGCGTGAGACTGTGTATCGAAAATTCTAAAGATATGCTCAATTTATTTTTATGATTTTGCTTATAGTAGCACTGCAATTGTGAATATGTAATCAAATTTTAATTACATCAAAGTTTTCACTAGCTTAATTTTTAGAAAGCAAAGCACATAAATGAATTACCGTATTTGATGGCATATAAGACGCACCCTTATTTAGAAGGCCACACACAAGGGGGAAAAAGTTTAAATAGTCCACACGTGAGCGCGGTACCACAATAACTTAAATTGTGGTTTCTTTTAGTTCGCACGTTTCATAAAACCCAAATAAACAATCATTGAATGCAATTACCAAACATATTTTTTATTAAGGAAAATTAACAAACGGCAAGCTATTTTAAACATGACATGTAAATTTCAATAATTAATAAATGAATGAATGGCAAGCAATCAAACATAATACAAAATAAAGCAGAAACAACAAAAAACACAGATTCAAGGAAATTGTTGCCTATCATGAAATTAGACTTTAATCACTTTCAAAACCATAAAAATCCTTTTCACCATCATCATCGAAAATGAGAATATCATCATCACTACTGTTTCCATCATCGCTAGTATCACCTTCTTCGAATAATGTGTCGTCTTCTGTTCCGTGAAAAGCATTACTGATTCCGCACTTCTTAAAGAACTTAACAATTACTTCAGCCTTTATGTCCTCACAAGATCTTTTTACCCACTTGCACACTTGTGAAATAGTGGGCCGCTTCATTCAACCTGGGAGTGTGAGGGCGTGATGTGGCTCTCCTATCCACTTGTTCTCACACTTTTTCCTTAAATGCCTTATTCACTGATATATCTAAAGGCTGCAATTGGCTACTCAGTCCACCAGGAATGACAGCTATCTGGGTTTTTAATTCTCTCGCTTTATTCTTTATGGTTTCAGTTCTATGGGCGCTTAACTGATCCAAATCCAAAAGAGAGGGTTTTCTTAAGAGTCCACCAGGTCGCTTCGCCCATACGTTCTGTAACCACAGTTTCATTCCAGCTTCGTCCATCCAGCCTTTCGGATTAACATGAACAATTACATGCATTTGTAACAAACCTATGAAATGCTAGTATTTTTTCTTCATAGTTTGCTGGCATTTTCTGTGCAATAGTTGTTTTTGTGCGCATTGATAAGCCTTGTCTTTTCATGAACCTGTAGCACCAGCCCTCAGACCCTGAAAAGTTCTGATTCCCATGTTTTTCTGCAAATCCTTTGGGCTCATTGATTATCATTTTAGTTGAAACACTTATCCCAGATTTCCTCTTATCTATCACCCACATTTTTATGGCATTTTCAAGTTCAGGCCAAGATGGAGCTGGGGATCAAAGGTTATGTTTTTGGTTTTTAGCAGTTTTCAGTTGATCTTCTTGCAGTCACCAAGTACGTATAAATTTTTTTTCAGTAGGTGGTGGACCGAAATGCCTTGCTGCTGCTCTCTTTCCATGCACTTTGGCGTAGTTTAACACTCCTAATTCATACTGAATTGTATAGCTTAATCTCTTGTTTCCAGTAGTCATATTTTCCAGGGTATTTTTTTTTAAACAAATAGTTTTAAACACCGGTACCGACACGTTTATGCAGAGTAGCACCGATACCGACATGTGTGTCGGCTGAGTCAAAGAAAGTCTATGTAAAGAAGGAAAGGCTCCATAGACGTAATGTGACTGTCAAACCTGTTCGAACTCTGACATCAGCTTCGAGCTTTGGCGCTTTTTGGCGACAGATATTTCACACATGCACAAAATAATTATGGCAGATGTAGAAAAAGTTATGTGTGCCTAGACCTTTATCCGGGCTAAAAATAGCATTCAGTATTTAAAGTTAACCTGTGTCCTTCATGTGTAAGACGCAGGTAACTTTCTTGAGACCAAATTTAGGAAAAAAAAGTGCGTCTTATATGCCTTCAAATATGGTATTTTCAACTTGATTTTTCAAGCGTTTTGCTTGAAAATGATGCCTTTCTCTGAATGACAGAACTTGTATTCAAATGAAAATGGGAGTATTTAATCAAATGAGAATGGCAATATATCAAATGGCTTAGCTGTAAATTTATTTCATGAAATGCCAAATCTTATTTGATTGAAGCCTTTATTACAGAATACAGAAAAGGCAAATTTGTAGAAGGAGGCATTTATAATTTTATAAGAAAGAATTTTAGTTAAGGCATTGCAACATGTATGTTGCATTGCTAGGTGACAAAGCAAAAAAAGCAGCTGTAAATTTATTGTAACATGTTTTGTCTTATGATACCATTTTAATTAAAGATAACTGTAATTAATTATGGTGCCCAATTTATTTTTTGGTACCTTCTAATTATACAAAATTCCAGCTTCAGTAGTAAAACTGCTATGGAATATTTTCAAGTATTACATGCGGCTATAACTAATTGACGTGTACATATTCCATACATGTGCTTGAACACAAGTAGTTTTACATGCTTTAAATTTAATTGTTATTTTGCTGAATAGTATGTACCAGCTGTAACTGTTGGCCAAATACATATTTTATTTTCTCATAAAATTTCTTGTTTTTTATAAAGCACTTCTTTTTATTATTATTTATGAAGAAAACAATTCCTGAGAGCTATAAAGCTAGTCAAACGAATATCTTTCGGCAATTCTCATAGATGTCAATGAGTTGAAAAGTTGTCATGGGGGTGCACGTAATCAGAAGGAATCTTTTTTTTTCTTACTAAATGATAAAGATTTAAAAAAGTAAGCTTTCGCTTCCTTATTTCTCCCAAACCTGTATAATGCTCTTTTTTATGTGTGTGCCTTGATTTTGTTGTATATATATATATATATATAGAAAACAATCTTCAGTAAGTGACTGTAGATGAAAGGAGATCAGAAGTAAAATATTTTAATGATAAACATGAATATTTTGTAATATTATTAATAAAAAATAGGATATTCATAATCTTAATGTTAAGTATTACATTTTCATTTAAGATTATAATTTTTAAAACAGTTTTGATTTTGATTTTCGGTAAACCTCTTTCATTTCATTTCTTAACTACCATCATGAAGGTTGTAGCTCAGATAAGTGTTCTTTTTTCTGAAAGGATTTCAAGAAATGAAAATGAGATGAGGCACAGGGCAGGCAAATTTTTTCACTATTTTATAGTCTTTTGAATGGGTTTTCAACTATAGCATTTATAATAGTACTAAATACACATTTTGCCCTAAAATCCCTCATGATCACTTTTTTCCAGCAAGTTTATGAGATATTGTTCTCACTATGAACATTTATTCAAAGCAAGATGCAACAACTGATTGAAGAATTCATAGTCTAACTGAACTCTAGATCACTAGTATTAATTCGTTTAGTACCAAAAAAGGCACTTTTTTGTTGAACTGAAAGTTTTACACAAAAGATTTCAAGAAATGAAAATGAGATGAGGCACAGGGCAGGCAAATTTTTTCACTATTTTATAGTCTTTTGAATGGGTTTTCAACTATAGCATTTATAATAGTACTAAATACACATTTTGCCCTAAAATCCCTCATGATCACTTTTTCCAGCAAGTTTATGATATATTGTTCTCAAGAAGTCTATGAACATTTATTCAAAGCAAGATTGCAACAACTGATTGAAGAATTCATAGTCTAACTGAACTCTAGAATCACTAGTATTAATTCGTTTAGTACCCAAAAAGGCACTTCACTGCTTGTGTTGAACATGGTGTTTAAAATGTTTTACACAACAAAAGGATTTATTCATAGTCACAAAAAAATGTGTAACACAGAAGAGTGTCTTTGTTGCTAGAAAGTGACAGTGAATAAAATGTAATTAATAAGTTTATAAGTTTTGTTATTTCTATATGTTTATATTCTTGAATTCATATAATATAATTGTCATTGTGATGTATATTTTATTGTGTATATGTCTTATTATGCCTTCTTTAAATTAACAAAAAAGTATTTAAATGAATAGAAATAAATGTTTCTATGATTTGTTTCCAAACATTATTATTTATTGTTTCTTTTTTGGTTATATCTGCATGTTATGGTTTTACATGTTTAGTGTTATAGTTTTCATGTTTTCACATTCAGTTTTCATATTGGATTAGTTAATTTTTTGTGCTGATGAAATGGGTTTTTAAGAATTTTGTACTTGTTTATGTGTTAGGAAATTCTACATCAGTAACTAATAAACATTGGAAATGTTATTGTAAATAATTTCATCATACTAATTGTAAGCAGAGGCAGATTTATGGGGGTGGAGCATATGACAGTCTAGAAATACTAGTTAACTTACCCTTTGTCTGAAATGATAATATCCTCCCAAAAAGTTCAAGTGAAGTGGGCCACTAACCTTTAAATCCAGCACAGATTATATTCTCCCCTTTGCACAGTAGTAGATTAATGTAGTGAGCATTCACCTCTTCTGAATATTTTGGGCCCCTCATCTTAAGACAGAATATATTAAATAAATTAATATTCTTAAAATTAATGATTTGTGAGCTGTTTTTTATATTTCAGCTTGTGTACCCTCCATAAATCTATCTCTACTAGCTTGCTGCTAGAGTAGAATGCTGTATGCTCATTATTCATAGAAAAACTATTATTTCTAATAATGAATAATTTCTTTTATAGTGTCTTCTCACACATCAGGATGTTCGACTCTTTCTGCTTTCTTTCACCATGTGAGAAACTCATTTAAAGAAATACCTCATATTTTTGTTACTAATCTGTCATATTCTGGTGATGAAGCACAAAAAGTTGAAGATCATTTGTCTTCAAGTTAGTTATTATTTTTGGTTTTTATTATCGTACATATTATTTAATATATTTTCCATTCTCTAAATATCAAATACCTTATATCGCCCACCAGCGGCCGAGTGGTAAAGTCGCTGACACTGGTAGTTCAGTCCAAGGTTCGAATTCCGCGAACGGGTTGGCTGCATGGGCGTTTTCGTGGTTTTCCAAATGTGTAACGTGTATACAAGCCAGTTTTCCTTAGAAAGTCCTTCACGAAGGCATTGTGGCTTTGGCTACTAATGTTTAAAATTAATTTATGATTAGGAACAGCATGAATTATAAACAAATAGCTAAGTTTATTGCTTTTTATTTTCCAGCTATTGAAATGCGACGCTATTAGAATAGCAACGTTTGGAAACCAAAACCTAGCAATCATGAATCAGAACTAGTTGCCATTCAGCATAAAGAAGTTTAAATATAAATGTGAACTACGTGTTGCCATTCAGCATAAAAGAAATATAAATATGAATATTAACAAAATATTAGTTAATTTTATAAAATAATTAAACACATGAACAAATATATGAAATAAAAAATAATTATTTCTCATATAATAACTGCGCCACAACAGCATCCCTCCCCTTAGGCAGATAGCCCTCAAGGCTCTGCCATAATCACACACACAGATACCTTATATATTTAAGACACAATAACGCCGAATAAATACTAATTCAGAACTCAAAAAAACAAAAATCAGCGTTATATTTACAAAATTTTCACAGGACTAGTTTCGATGGTTTTACCGAACCACCATCCTCAGCTGCAAAACCGCAAATGATCAAGATAGGAAATAATGATTAGATAAGATAAGAAAGCCTGGACAAGAATAAGCAAGTGGCGCCATCTGTTGGTGAAACCAGAACTAAAACATAATTTCTTTAAAGGCCGAAGGCAAATTTGGATTGGAATTAGGATCGTTAACTAGAACAGAATTTGGATTAGAATTAGGATCGTTAACTAGAACTTCCATTGGAGAACTGGATTTTCTAGAGACATTTCACATTTATAAAAATCTTTCTGTTCTAGTTAACGATCCTAATTCCAATCCAAATTTGCCTTCGGCCTTTAAAGAAATTATGTTTTAGTTCTGGTTTCACCAACAGATGGTGCCACTTGCTTATTCTTGTCCAGGCTTTCTTATCTTATCTAATCATTATTTCCTATCTTGATCATTTGCGGTTTTGCAGCTGAGGATGGTGGTTCGGTAAAACCATCGAAACTAGTCCTGTGAAAATTTTGTAAATATAACGCTGATTTTTGTTGTTTGAGTTCTGAATTAGTACCTTATATATGTTCACACTGTTATGTAATAAACAGCATTAATTTTAAATCATGTGACTTCTTTTCATTTGTGTTCCTTCCTTAAAAATTTGTCAGTTTTTTAGAAGAAATAGTGTTAATATGACAATTGTAAGCAATTTCATGTGGACACCGCATGATTTCCTTGTACTGCCTGTTAAATTATACTTACTTTTTGCTGCGCTTCATTTTAACTTGTTTTCTGAAATTTCATTAGAGGTTTCATTAAAGGTTCATTGAGGTGTATATTTCTTATTCAATCAATTGGGTTCTCACTTCATGGCAGGGCAAAAATACATAAAAATTCAAAGCATTTTCGTTAAAAACTGTAAAATAGAGATAAACCTAAAACACCAATTACAAATAAAAACAGTTAACAATTTTTACAATTAAAATTTGAGTTTCGGCGCAAAACAAAGCAATTAGGCCAATTGACAGGAAAACAAAATTTTCAGAGCAAAAAAATTTAAAGTTAATTTTTGTTCACACTGGGCAAAAAGACACCAAGTTTGGTGCACCAACTGACTTAATTGACTGCACTAATAAGAGTTTCAAATGTAAACAAACAGCCGGTACATTAGGCCTAGTAACCACTTGGACTTTTAAATTGTTGGTAGTTCTACAACTGTTATATGCAGGTAAACTAAAGGTAAACAAAAATTGCACAGTTTGCCAATATAATATAGGAGCAAAAATCGCAGAGCTTCCGTAATTGGAACATAAGAAGCAAAAAATGCATTATTTATCAACATATAAGAATAAAAACTTAGAGCTTACCTAGCCAGATAAGAGGGTGGGTATATATATATATATAGAGAGAGAGAGAGATACATGAAATACTGAGTTCAAAAGTAGTAGAAATTTTGATTATTCTATTTCAGTAAAAAGGTATAGTGTATATTTAAGACACCTTGAGAAAATTTAGAGTAGTCAAAGATCTCAATCTAAGCTTTTTGTATGGGACGTTAAAACTTGTTAAAGCAGTGGTGTAATCACTAAAATTAAAAAAACAATGTTTAAAAAAAATCACTACCTCTATTTAATGTTTCAAACAGACCTTGTTGAGGGGTAAGTATTTAAAACATTAAATCGGGTAGATTAATAAGTAAGTAACATGTTTCATTCCTCTCAACACTGTAAGACTTTAAACCATTGTAAATAATTTCCTTTTTGAAACATTACTTCTCGGATAGTCTTATATTGTTGAAGAGCTTACCTGATTGATATTCTATCCCCACTCTTTGAATTAAAATTGCAATAAAAATAAAAAACCTCAAGTATAAATGTGGAAAATAAACAAAATTAAAATTAAAAAATCATATAAATTACAGAATTGTAGTAAAGTGAGAGAAAAACTAGTACATAAAAACTCCAAAAACATTATTCATATAAGTTATAAAACATTTTAAGAATAGTCAAACTTGCTGTTAAAAAGGGTTGTCTTGTAAACTTGAAGTCCTATCTCTCATTTTTACTTTTAAAAATTGTAACTGATGATATAAGTAAAAATGAAAACTTTTGCTGCAAATTTTGGAACATGAAAAAAATATTAATAGCTGAAAAAAACTTACTATTGTAGTCAGTGGGGGGATATATATATATATATATATATATATATATATTTTATATTTGTCATGGCCAATTTCAACAAAAAGGGGAGGTCACAACTACATGTTATAGCAGTTCCATATACAAAATTTCAATGTTTTACGGCTGATTGTTTTTGAATTATGCAAGATATATACGTATGTATAGCCTTCATGAAAAGAATCCCTTTTGAAACCACTTTAAATCCATTTTATAATCTGTTTTGGAAAAAGGAGTCTTGTACAGATGTTATGCAAAAAATTGTTCAAATGTGTTTGAGAGTGGTCAAAATGGATACGTTTGTTGAAATATGACACCTGAAATTTTTCATGATCACAATACAGGGTTATGAGGAAAGAATCATCTGAATGCAAAATATAATACTCTCCATAATTAATAACAGAAAGTTATGAATAATATGTCATTGTAAAGAAAAAATTTTACATTTTTTTTCACAAGTGTTCGATAGGACTTCCTTGAGTCACCCATATAATATCAATACGATTTGCCATTTCTTGTCAAAAATGACGTAATGTTTCACTTTTAACTGTTTGTAAAGTATCACAAATGTGTTCTTTAAGTTCGGGCAAACATGTAAGCAAAGGTGGTATGAACACAAGATCTTTGACATATCCCCAAAGGAAGTAGGGGTAGTCAGGTGACCTAGGAGGGTAGCTGTGTAGGACCAAATTATTGGCTGCATTGTGACCAATGGAATAGTGTGGTTGTTCTTTGTTTAGAAATTTAGGAAATTTAGCCTCCAGTGACCAATGGGGTGGTGTGCCATCTTGTTGAACAATGAAATTTTGTATATCTTCCTTCAACTAAGGGAAAGCCAAATTTGTAGCATATTGAGGTAGGTAATATCACTCACTGATTTTTCAGCAAAAAGAACAGTCCATAAACCTTTTATGGAGATACTGCACAAAAGACGTTTACTTTTGGAGAGTCCTTTATTTGGTTAATGTAGGCATGGGGATTTTCCGATGTCCAAATTCACATGCTATGGCAGTTTGCTTTGCCACTTATTTGAAAGGTGGCTTCATTTCTAAATATGAGTTGATTGCAAAAATGTTTGTCTTGCATAGCTTCATCCATGAAATCGCAGTAGCTTAGATGTTGTAACTCATCACTAGGCTTCAGTGCTCGCATGCTTTGCAATTTGTAAGGTTTAAAATGCTTATTTTTTTCCCATCACAGTCCAAAGGGTATACTGAGGTATCCTAAGTTCACAATCAGCATGAACCTTCAATTTCTTTGCATTGTGTAAAAAAAGCCTTTTCCATTTTTTTCAACTTTCTTTGCTGAAACACCTGGTTGCCCTGGACTTTTGCCTTTATACAGGCATTCACTTTCCTGGAAGTGGTTGTACCACCTTCTGATACTCCGAGATATCGGTGCTTTATTTGTATTGTACTTTCTCCTAAATTCATGCAGAACAGTGATTACCGACTGACTTCTTGCAAAGGATAGCACACTGAAAGCATTCTTCTGCTTAGATGCTATTTCCACATCTTTTCAAAATTTCAAAAACAGTGTAATGTCAACATATTGTGAAAAAACAATGTTACAGACTGAAAATTTAAAACTTTTCCTTCACAGTGATATATTAATTATATTATTGACAAATTATAATATTCTGTTTAATTGTGGAAAATATTAAATTTTCTAATCGGAAGATTTTTTCTCTGATAACGCAATACTTCCTTTACTTCGTACAAGGAAGTAAGAATAAGTAAATAGTATATGGTAAAGATTTAATTGTATCTAAATGCTGATCAGCTAATTTTCAATTAATTACTTTTTAATGCAATTAGCTCACAAATTTAATTTTGAAATTTCTGATCTATAAAGATCACAAATTTTATTGTTATTTAAATGCAATGACCTTTTTTTTTTTTCTAAGTGCATTAATTTAATTAATAATGCACTGCATTGTATATCTTATTGTTCAGTTTTTCTTTCTTTTTTTGAAAGTCTGTATTCATGAGAAATGTATTAAATTAATAGTTGTTTTAAAATCATAAACATGAGAAAGAATAACCATAGAGAAATGGATATCCAAATGCTTTTACAAAATGACTCTTTTGAAAATT